GGTGAAGAACTGGTTCACTTATCAGTAGTATAATTAAGCACTGATGTTAGCCATTGGCAGGAATCAACGAAGCTCACCAGGTTCATAGCATCCTGAACTAACCGCACCACTTTTCGCATAATTAACTGACATACATGTTTCACTGGTCCCTATCCTACAGAACATTTAAGCACTACCCACCAGCATAACAATGCAACATATTTTTCTCTTCCTTGCAAAATCAGCCATTGATTTCCTCTTTCATACATAATGCAGGTTCCTGGTAAGACCATTTACATATAAATAGCGAAATGCTTGCTACTGGCTTAATAGACAAACAGATAAAGGGATTAAGACTGTGGGTCTAGTCGTGTGTATTCAACATGTCAGTTGGCAAATAAGGTTAATGAGTTACTACTCAGTAATTAAAAGAATATATGTGGTGACATCAATAATCAATGGGTCTATCTTGGCAACCTTGGTAGCAGTGCTATTACAATCAGCACACATTTCTATCTCTTCGATAATCCTCACACATAAATTTAGTATTATGTTTGAATTAAGCGTTCCATTTAAATTTCGATTTAAATTTGATTTCTACTAATGTATTGTGTACATGTAAAAGAAAAATAATCTCAGCTTCCCTGAATAAACTGTGAATACAATTTAAAACGTAGGATTTCGCAACCAATATTACCCATAATAGAGGTTTTTGGGCTAGATTGCGTAAATATAATTGGCTGATTCAGGTGGTGGCGGGTTTAACGACACATTTATATTCACGTGATCTAATCCAAAACCCTCGATGATAGTTAATACAATAGCAGACAACCTACCACCATAATTCTTTGACCTTATTCATGACAAACTGTTATTCATTACCCTGTGGACTTTATACTTGGACCTGCTGACACAAATTATTTCTCAACGTACCCTTGATGAGATATAAAGTGGGGTTAATTTGACGAAGCAGCAATGTATTGCGTCAAAACGATTTCAATTTCAAGCCAATATTTTGCAGTTAGTTTTTGAAACAGCTTTGAATTTACTACACTGTATGAAACATCACGTAAAATAATCACATCTATTCACACTTACTGATAATGCATCCAACAAGGAACTGTTAATTCTTTATACACCTGTATTTGAATATTCTAAATATTAAGTTTTCCTAGCTCATGTATTATTTTAGAACTAAAGTAACTAATAACTACATTATACTAGAATAGGAAAATTGCATCTCAAACAATGGTTAAAAGTTTCCTTATTGTATTAGTTGCATAAACTAGACAGATAAAGTAAATGTTAGTGTTTTATGCAACACATAAAAAGAATATGATTTAGGTTGATGATTTTTAAATGTCAATTATATTAAAAGCGATATTCACACTTAGAGCAGATTTGGAATGTTTGCAATAAATATCCTGTAGCATACATGTAACACTGATTCGTTTTTATCGCTTCGAAACTCCTCTGAGTGTTTTTTTACCGCACCTGCAAAAAAAAACATCAACTAATTATGACTGCTTTTGTATTTGCTTTGCACTCAAAACAGCCACAGCACAAACTTACCAGGGACCTGCCGTGTGTAATTTTACAAGACGCTACTGGTACCCGCTAAATCTGCTGACGCCTGCATCATCTCCTTACCTTGAACAGCTCCACTGAAAATACTGCAAACGACCACGACAATTATGAGGAGGTGGCCAGCCATTACAGCTGTCACACCAACTCTTTGAGATGATTTTGTTTCCACGCTAAGGTCAGAATGAAATTCTGCTTGCTGAGCTAACACATAGGGCCGGATAGAGTTGGGTGACCGCCCCCTCCAGCAGAGGCACGTCTCCTTGGCGTCCTGCAGAGTAGTATCTTGGGGAGATCGTGAGTGTGGGTACAAGATGCACTGGCATCTCGGCCTTATTTGAGGGAGGTCGAGATGTTTAAGACCCGCCCCCAATTTGACCTCCCCCTGCATGCGACGGATTCCCTCCATGAGCTATTCTCTACCCCCCCACCACCACCACCGCCCCGAACACCACAAACTGCCTCCCTTCCCCTCCAATAAATATCTAAGCCATGCCATCAAACGGGAGGCCAGGATTAAACAGTGGTGCCACAACAAGTTAATGACACACTTCATTTTCCACAACTGTACTGTACTCCACTTTCTTACGACTAAATATAATTAAGTAAAAACGAGCTTTTTTTAAAAGGGTCGCCCTTTAAGTGAAGTCATCTCGGAATTCCAAAATCTGTCTCGCGAATGTTCTAAATTGGTCCTTGCATACAAATGCAAAGCAACGACAATGTTCACAGCAAGCCTCGTATTTTATTTTTTTATAATTATGTTCAACGTTCGGTTTTCAGTTCCGTTTATTAGATATAGCCCTGTGAGCCATGCGGCTCTTGACTCGGGTGCAACTGCAACAAACAAAAACATGAACAAGAAACACATCTTAAAGTGACCACACGCAACAGAAAAATCCAGGAAAAAAACAGCAAAGTCTTCCAGAAAAAAACACCGTATTTCTACGCTGTGTGCCAAAAATCCCAGTGGGATGCAAGTCAAACAATAACAACCATAAGACAATTTACATTAAAGTTATCAGGCTAACTCTGTACTACAACAAACAAACACGGCTAAACCAAGACGTTTTCAAAATCACCAACAGTGATCATAGGAACTGTGATTCAAATTTAACAATAAACGATATGCATAACATGTACGACCAAACTTTGCAGCCGCGTTAGCTGGGCTGCATTGAGCCACTCCATAACAGCAGGAGCATCGGTAGCAGTATCAACATTTTTCACTACACCTTTAAAGATCAGCACACTCTAGTCGTTGTGAAAGAAATAAAAAAATCGGCGTGTCCGCGTCATTGGGCACATTTTCTTTGTTTTTTTTAACATTCAAGGAGTCATTGAGGGAGGGTCGCGTGTGTTGGACGAGAGGAGTGGGGGCTGAGAAGAGTAGGGCCCCGCGAGACGCGTGGTACGGCACGGTACCAAAATCCGTCCCGGGCGCGCTCCAGTGGAGAGGGGAGCAAGCAAGCTCTGTCTCTCTCAACAAGAATTCACGCCGCTCGTGCAAACCGCAACCGACGCAACTCGTTTGGCTTTCTTACCGAGGGTGAGAATAGCCTAATTAAAAGCGCCGTTCATGCAAATAGCTTCTCTTAAGGAATTCATGTTTTTTTTTACAACAATTTTCTTTATTCGTGTTTTCCACAGCACAGTGCAATTCCAGCACACACACAAAAAAACGGTCACGAGCATTTAAGCACTTGTTTTTGTGATCTTACCCGCTTTTTATTGAGAAAATATATGAATGAGTAGAGTATTGTTTTTTTTTCAAATAAACAAGGGGGGGGTACCAGTGGGGGAGAGGGGGGTGGGTGCTTAAAATAAAAAAAACATTTTAATCCAGGTGTTCTCTTCATCATCGTTCAAATACATGTTTTCTCTGTGAGAGGTGAACACAAAAATTCCTGAATGAACGTCCCTCTATATTGTGTTTACGTGATTCCCTTTTCTAAAAAAAGAAGCATGGTTAGCTTTGACTTAACATCTTTTATGATGCGATTAATAATAACTATTATAACATACTATTTCCCTATATCATTGTTAAGATGTACGTATGCATCTGGTCAAACCTTTCGCAAATAATAAACATAACGTCTGATAATGTGTGGCCCTGCCCCTCCTCTCTTAGAGCTGCCAGTTTGTAATCGGATGAAGAGGGCTCAGCATGGTGCCTGTAGTTACAACTGGTGTAAGGTTCAGAGCTGTTTTACCCTGTGATTCTGAAAATTCCTCAGGTACTTTTCTGGGAATCACAGTGTAGTTCCATTTACTGCAATGCAATCATTAACTCGCAACTCATTACAGATGTTAGTGTCAGCGTCACAGCAATCTGGACCTACAGACAAAACGTGTCACCAGAAGAAATAATAAGCCAGGTGACAAGGCAAACCAACACCCAGTTAAACACTCACCATAATAATTTGTACGGCCCAGATTCCATAATTATAGTATTCTGCGGTACTATCTGTTACTTGTTCGTTTGCAGATTTAGGAAGAACATTTGTGGAAGAGTTGTGGAAAACAAAACTCGTTTTTCAGGTTTATTGAACATAAATACATTTACTGTTCTATTATAAAGTTAATATGCATCTGGGGTATGAAAGAATAGTTCCATCACGTTATAATATTCAGTCAAAAAGATACAAATCTAGGGGAAATATTACATTTATAAATCCAATGTCAATACAGTTAACACCCACCGAAAAGCATTTGCATTTGACGGTGAGAAAACTGTTGTTCGTGGTTATTAAAATAAAGTAATACATATTGCCAGTGGTTATTATATATTACATTTATGGGAAGGCCTGTTTTTAATTGGTTAATAATGCATCCCTAAAAACTGAATATTTTAAAGTGGTGCATCCTTGCTGTGCTCTATGGCAAAATGGAATATTTCACTCAAATCGTAAATCTGCCCGAAAAGAATAATAACCAACATTACAAACTTAATTAAATGGAACACGGCCAGCCATTAAACTTGAGCTTTCTTTCTGACAAATAATTTATATGCGACAAATATAATTATGATTAATACATACTTATATTTGTTCCATTTTGTCATCCATTATTGCTCATGTACGCAATCATAACACAATGTCTCACACCTGCGCCTCAGCAAAAGTGCCAAAAGCCATTTCCAATTTTTTCGAGACGACCATAATGCTCGCGTAATTAACGTATAGTCTCATTTTAAACAAGGCAATCCGTTTGATATTGGAGCACACCTGCCCATAAATACAACAGTAACCTCAATTTAGCAAAAGACAAGCAAGAAATGTGACTAATAGTTAAAATTGTGAACATTTTAAGAGATTAAAGGAATCTTGCATTGCACATCTTTCAAACTTGGTCATAGCCGATTGCTTTCAGGTGTAAATAATTAGCCTCGCATTGTGCTGCTATGCAGTTAAAAGGTAATTGAAGCTTGGCAGACTCGTCTGTGCAGGTTTGTGTAGTGGGGAGGGTTCATTTTGCTGAGTTATTCAACAGCTAATGCGAAGAACTCCAGTATTCCTGCATCGTGTGAGTGTTGTTTCCCTTGCCAACAAATTCTGAAACTACACAATAATGCATGATATACTTGAAAGTGTACCTGTATTACTTTGCATTGCTAAATAATATGGGCATGAGGTGTACCATAATCATGATTGAGTTGTTTCGCAATTCTGTAAATTGTACACTGGATAGAAAATTGCCCTGCAATGTACACCCCTTTTCCCGTTTTCCATGATATATTAACCAAAAAACTACAGCCATGTAGATCATATGCATTTTAAAATGGAAGTAAGCACCATAAAGTTGAGTATAAATAATAACTTATCTATCACGCATTTTTTTATTGATGTTACGTTTCTCCATCTGAACAGAGAATTAACTGGGCTAGAGAGTGTTTTAAATAGGCTCGCACATGTTCTAATCCATTCAAACATCACTGTGAGTGCTTGTACTTTACATGCCAATCTGATCCAACTTTTCTGTCCTGTGAGAACCATAAAAGTGAGAGAGAGAGAGAGAAAAAGCTCCACAAACTTAGTTTGCAGTGCATCGTTCGAGCAGCCTACATTCACAGATTAATCAGTATTCTGTAAAGTGAAACAATGTTTACAATAGTGTTTGCAAAACAATGGTCGGTTACTGAAATGTATAATACCAAGCCATAAGTGAGCTACGGGATAGCAGTTGAAATTGCTTGAAGGCAATGCCGAAGCCAAGTGCAGAAAAGGAACACCTGTTGGGGAATGGAAAAAAGCATTTTACACGCAATAATTTATGGTACGGTCCTTTGGCACACGGAACAATGGATCCAGAAACCAGTTTCATTCTTCGCCACGGCTAACAACACCGATGCGCATAGCTCTCGGATGTTTTGGGGTTTTGCGGCCAATTTGGCATGATGTCCGACGTTTTGCAGGCAACAATGCTACATAATCTAGTCGGTGAAATTCTTCAATACGTTCCTAATTAGAAGCTCCCAACACATGGAGCGAAACGGGGCACATGATGTCAAAACAATACACGGTAACAACCTGAAAACACATCAGAGAGCCACACATCACACCAGCCAAAAAAAAACCTACGCAGTAGAATCAGTGGTGAAGTAATATGTGACCTGGTTCACAGGCTGCCCACATCTCTTTACTGACCAGCGATCTGGTCAAACAACCCCCGTGATCAAACTGCATAGGGCGCGCCCTTCGTCCAGAATTGTATTTAGAAACCGACAAGACAGTGATGGATGTGTGTGTGTTTGTATTCCCGTGCAATGCGAAATACTTGTGAGCGGAGTAACGGCCAATGTGTGTGCTCGGCCTCTGTATGGGCTGTAAATTATTGTTATTACTTAATAATGGCAGTTACTTACCCAGAAAAGCCTCACTTAAGCTCAATAGTTGTTGTTTTTCTCCGGCAGGGTCAACCTGTATTGGGAAGCTTGGACAGCGCCATTTTTTGAGTGTTTGGTATGTAGTAGGAAATCATCAGAGAACCAGGAGAAAACTCGAGCATACCAAGGATGTGTACTTCATAGCTCCACACACATCGTTTAATTTACACGCAGACCCACTGCAGTAAATCTATATAGGACGTGGACCGAGACAATTTGCTGTACTGCCACCTACTGGTCACCAAGCGACTTGTTGCCCCTCGCCTTGCGTCGCATGGCAATTAATCAATGCCTGGTGGTGGTTCACCCGTTCAAGTGCTCACTCTGCTAGGTTAAACTAGAACGGGCGTGCATTCTGCGTGATTTGCTTACACGCAAACATTGCACGGCGTCGTTTAATTACAATCTTCCACCTACACCCACATATTGTATGTCCTGTGCGTATGTTGAACTTGGTTCGCACCGTCCGTAGCCAACCGTGCCAATCGGAGGTGCTTATCCGAGTTGTTATGGGATGTAGTGTGAAGTATTTTGTACGATTGGGAACCTCGATAAGTTAGAAAATGTTTATCCCCATTTTGCATTTCTCCCGAGTTTCTTGAAATTCAGACTGCACACCCATGGCCAACTGATTAAACTCAAGAGGTCAAACACAGCTGACTTAGCAGTCTACACAAACTCAAACTCCAGCGCCAAGTCCGTTAGGTACCGTGAGTCAGCTGTTGTGAGGACCACATCACAGCGCATTTTACCACAGCAAGGCATAGCTTTTAAACCGGTATGTTTGCGGTGAGATAATACCACGTGTTTGAAATGTTTTAACCATAAGGTAAGCAGATATATACAGTGCTGCGTATGTTCCAACACAATGTTGAGTAACGACGATATTGTCACCGTTAAAACTGGAGAAATGACATGTTGCGTTTTCTCCTTCAACCATACCGATTCAAGCCACGCTCTCGACAATGAAGCCCGCCGTCAAAAAGGTCGTGAGAAATGCCCCTTCGGGCCCCAAGACAAAGACGAAAGTGGCCAAGTCGGAGGAGAAACGACAGCAAGCGGCAAAAACCGTGAAAAATTCTCCGGCTGGCAGAAAAAAAGGTCAGACACAAGAATAAATGTCTTACCGCCGCCGCCCCATCCACGCTGACAACCCGTGTTCGTCACCGTGAAAGTGTAACACATTGCCTGTGATGTGAACTTCGATATTTGTATAAACGGCAAGCAAATACTGCAAAATGGGGCAGCTTGAATAATGCAATGCGCGTTTAGTATGTAGTGTTGTACGGTATTATGGAGAGAGAAAAAAATCAGTGTTAGCAGTACCTCATCTGTAAGACAATGCCTTGAGTAATTATTTTAATCCGGAATATCCAATCATCGTCCCTAATCGTGTAATAATGTACTGTCAATGCGCTGCTAAGTTTATAATTGCAGCTGTTGGATGTCGCGGCCAGCAGGTGGCAATACATTACTGGAACAGGAGGGCACTGAAAAATCACCTGCAGAATTTGGTTTGGGAGACATTGGAGGACAAAAATAGCCAAGGCTACATTTAATGCAGAAGCATATGCAGTTAAACCTGCTGCAAAGGGCAATAGGTAAATGTCTAATATTAACGTATCGAAAAATTACCTCCACAGCTGTTGCCACCACTGGCTTGTCAGAATTGCAAACAGTAAGAGGCGATTAATAATCACGATGTCCATGTAACGTGACCTGCTGCAAGACTCGGGGGGGCTTGAAAGATTAGTTTAATAATACGACAACATGCCACCCTGCATTTCATTCCCTACAACGGCGAGCTCCTTTTGTAATTACAGATGATCAAATTGACAGGATATTAAGGCAAGCTGTATCTTATTACGCACGTATTATTGTGGCGATTTAGCGCACTATATATATATATTTTTGTAAACCTATTTAACCCACGTTGTCCATCGTGTGACCGTCCGGCCCCCTCCTCATCCCCAATAGCACCCTCCCAGCTGCCCAGGCAGGGTGTTACCCAACTCTCCTCCCATGCTGCCGCCACCGACTGTCACGCGGCGGCGGAGGCGGGGAAGGTGGTGCCTTCGGCCAGGGGATTGCGCGGTGGCGTGCGGCCACCGAGTGCCAGAGGCAAGGTTCTCGCCCCTGTTGCGCAGGGTTCTGTTGCCGCACGAACACCAACGCCGCCGGGCATGGGTCCACTCGGAGGAGTGCACGCAGCTATGGAAACTGTAACCATGATAACAGTTCCCTGGCGACCCCATTCCTAATCTTCAAACAGGGCAGAGTGGATTAGGGCACTCGCCTGTACAAATGACGGGGCACGTTGGTAGGGGGCGCAATGGTTGCGCGTTGGCTCGATGCAAGAAGCCCTCTGTTATCCTCAACCCCATGGTGTTTGTGCTACCAGTGTGGGCTGCAGACCTCGCAGCAATTGATTCTGGCGTGGTGTAAAAAACACAATCGCCGTTTTGTGTTGTTTAACCTGTAAAATTAATCATGCATACATGGTCATAATCGTATGTCCGCAAAATGCGCATGCGAATAATGTAAAGCATTACAGCACCGTGTATTTACCTGGCCAACCGTTATAGCCATTAGTATTCCACGTCAATTTCAAAGCACATTTTAAAGGGAGCTGTGAAGGTAATTTTAGAAGCTCTCACGCGACGTGTCTTACGGAGCAAGTGGGGCAGTTTCCTGGCGCACCGCTCTCCGGATCCACAGCACAGATTCAAATCCTACAGCACAGATTCAAATCCCACATGCCACAGATGTAATAATGCATGGCCGAGACATAACTGCTTTGGTAACGACAGTTGTATTCATGCCTGATGAAAATTTGACATCCACGCTTTTCTGCCATAGGGATCATTTGACCACACTTTGATCATGTCTGTCCGCAAGGCATGGGAAGGCTTTCATGCCATAGGCATAGGGGATTAACAAAATGGATGTAAATTATCGTACACTTTTTAGTGCTGCATTTATGGTCTTCAAAGTATAATTCTTAAAACCATCATATCAACACATGTCCAGTATATGAAATGTTTTTTATTGCATTTTTTCAAATTGCATCACAAAATATATTTATGAAGCATAATATATCACAATACTATACAGTAAAGCAGGTACACCATGTTGGTTAGGATAGACATAATTAGGAATTGGGAGAGAAAAAAACAGCTTCATACTTTTATCATCAGCAGCCATGATCAAACCACTGCTTGATGAAGACCTTCCCAAAGCCGTCACCTTCTCAGTCCTGCGATGTAACATTTCTGTAACGCCCTCGGGCAATGCTTGTATCGAGTGCCCAACGTTTTTACACAAGGATTAGTGCTACCACCCAAAATAGTGTGCATGTGTTAAATTAAACACGTATGCAGTATTTGATTTACATGACATGTATTTTTTTTGTAATATTACATTTACAGGTCTTAACCACCATGGGATTACAGTGATGGATCAGAGTTGGCTGCACGGTGCTAAAGAGTCGTCAAATATCGATCAGGGGCTAAGCCAGACGATTACAGACAGAGCCGAAAAATCTGGGAACCACATCGTTGAAAAGGAGGACGGTACCAACAGCACCAGCCACCAGGTGTCACCGTCAAAAACCCACACAGTGAGAGAATTGCTTGTGGAGCTCAAATCCTTGCTCACAGGACAAGGTAAAGGATTACTTTTTATCTGCATGCACTCTACATTCAGACCTCTAGTGTTGTGTCAGCTGGCATTCGTACAAACAACATAGCGAGCATTGCTGGTTTTTTTCCTTCCAAAGCCCTCTTTAACACCCATCTGGCAATTCACACTGAGGAGTCCTTCCTGTATATTGTATGCCTGCAGCAAATACAGTATACAGGTTGACCCATGTGTATATATCGGTACCCCACAAAAATGATCGGGACAAATTCTGGAGAAACAATATTTTCATTCCGAGCCTGTCTCTTACCAATCTCAATACACGTGCAGTATATTACGTCTTTGAACACTCTTTCCAAAATATAACACTGTCGCATTCACCATATTTCATCACCTGCGAGGACGAAAGAGGGTAATTAGAAATCAGGTGTGGAATCAATAATCAATCAATAATCCTTTGGGTCTTTCGGTAAAGTCATGTAGATGGGTTCAAAGCCGTCACCTTCCCAGTCCTGCTTTAAGTCAAGATTTGGAATCAATAAATGTATGTATCACTAGGTATATATACTGTACCATGTTTTACAGATTATAAGACACTGGAGAGTGAGAGACACCCCAAACCTGTGCTCAATGCCAATAAAGTTATACAAATCTGGTCACACGTACAAACCACATAAGACACACCCCCCAACTACAACTTTTGCTTAACATTAAAGGGGGGGGGGGGGGGGGGATATGCACATTATGGTTTCATATTTGTGAAACTACAAATTGATCTCTTTTATATCAATCTTGATGGTTTGTATATTTGAAGATAGATTATATGTGCACACTATACCTTCAAGTGGAATTATAATTACCATCGCTATCAGCTGACCCTTACAAAAAAGCATGGAATGCAGTCATTCCCAAAGTGTCAGGGGGTTGTTTGACCATACTTCACCACACCCATTTGGATGGATTGGTAGAGGTGAGTTCACAACCCGTTAACATATCAATCCCCACAAATGTTAGCCGTGATCAGGAAATAAACTGAGGTCACCATGTTTTGTAGCAACTAGACACCACCCACCTACTACTGAATAGCTGAGAAAGGAAAATAGACTCCTCCTGCGATATATAACACGAAATGGAGGACTAGTCACCAACTCCTACAAGTAGGGAAAGGTTGAAGGCAGTGGTGTAAAGCAGGTCTGGTTTTATAGGTTGGGCTACGTGTTAAACATTATTCTCTCAAGCTTTTCCCATATGTTGCTCTCTCAGGAGTTGATTTGGCTGCAAAATTATTTCGTGTCAAATTGAAGTAAACTATGACCTTCCAGGACACAGGATAACTGAACTCGTACAGTAGCTACATCTACATTTTATATATAAAACATAGCTGAAAATAATTGAATTTTTTTGTCATGCACGTGCGATAATTTTACTGCCAGCTCAACAATTATTTAGATTAATAAGGCTTCCTTAAGCAATGGACCTTCAATCGCTGAGCATGGTGAAGGACGAAAATAAGTGAGAAGTAACCGGGGAGAGAAATCCTAAAAGAGACAAGATAGGGAACTGAGAGAAAGCCTTTTAAACAGGTGGGTCGTCAACATGGACTTAAAAGTCTCCATTGACTACGAATTCCCCAACCTCTTCAAGGGTATGGAATTTTGGAGGCTGGGCACTCTACAAACAGAAGCCGTTCCCGTCGCCCCAGGCTCGAAACGTGGGGCATGGGTACCACGAGTAGGGCACGATCGATGGATCTCATTGGAGTGTACAGTTGAATTCACTCCTGAATGTGTGGTGGAGCAAGCCCATCTAAGAAAAACCAATAGACAAATAGTGCAAGAGAAAATAGGCGATGAAAAAAAAGTGCAAATATGCAGACAATGTTTGAGTTGAGGCAGAATTCTATTTTTTGTGACTGCCCTTCAAAGCAACCTTTTTTCGTTAACTAATATATTTTTTATACCATATTAAAAACTTTTGTGTGTGGGAAACCATGAAGGAGAAGTGGCACAAATGTTTTCATTTACGGTTGGATTGTTATTTCTGCGTACGATTTCCATTCCACAATAATTATATAAGTAATCAACAACGCTTCATTACAGTAATGAAAAGTGTGTACTGTATGTGCATATATTGTTCTCAAAACATTGCTCCCACAGTGTAAATATATAGTATTGTTCTATTATGCATTGTTGTATACAGTATAATAATGGCCTGTTTATAATGTAAGGTTTATATTTTTTAAAAATTCCCCCAGAGGGTCTTTATGACCCAGCTTCCCACCCTTATTCCCTGCGGTGCCTGTCATATTCCTGGTTCTTTCGGTAAAGTCACGTAGATAGAAAATAAAAAGCAAACAAAACCCACGACGTTTCGATCGCAAAACAAGCAGTCTTCATCAGGTGGAGAGAAAAGAGGGGGCAAGCCTCCAAATGTAGCTGCTTATAAGGGCACCAGAGTGAGTGAGTGGGGGAAAGGGCTGCACAAGACACAGGGGGAGAGAGAGGGGGTGGGGCAGAGATAGGGGGGAGGAGAGAGGGGTAGAGATGGGAGGAGGGAGGAATTGCACCTCGTTACACCCATCAGACAATGGGGGGGGGGGGGGTGCCTGTTCTGTTTCCTCACGCAGTAGGGGAGAGGGAGTAGGAGGATAGGGAGCTCCGTGTGGTTGAAAACATGCACGATGTTGATTCTCTATTATTAGGCACACAACAATGGACATACAATGCCACGTTATATCCCCTTGGCTAAAAGAAAAAAAAGACTAGCATCAAGTTGATAATAATTTGTGTCAACTGCATCCAACCTGCACCTACCGGCATGGGTGAAGTATGGTCAAACAACATCCATGCGCTCGGCAGTGGATTGTCAAAAGGGTTATAAAGAAGTATTATACTGGTAGGAACCTCCTGGTTACACCAGCAGCCCACAGGGGATTATTGTGTCCGTCCGTCCGTCGTGCATCCAATAATGGGATGGGTGGGGCTGGGTGGAGAGGTCGAGAGTGGGGAGGGGCTGGGCGGGGAGGGGAGGGTGGGGAGGGGCTGGGTGGGGAGGGTGGGTAGCGGCTCGGTGGGGAGGGTGGGGCTGAGGGGGGGGGGTTGGGTGAGGAGGGGCTGGTCACCCCGTGGTGCCCTTATAAAACTCAACGTTTAACCTACTCACGCCGGCTTGTGCCCGCCCTCACAGTCGGGCATATTTGCGGAATACACCACGTGGTGCCACCGTTGACCCTGGCCATTGACCGAGCAACCCAACGTTCCTACCAGCTCCCTTCGCAGGAATGTGTTTCTCGTTCCTTGGAAATATATTTGCAACACTGCTGATCTAAGGTGGTATGACAGCTGACCGCGACTATTGGTAACATTTGTGTGCGACACAATTGGCCAATAAGGTTGAGTGTGACTGATTTGACATTAAACAATAATACGCATTTACCGACGTGCTAGAATGACACGCGAGTGTTATGGAGTATTATATTTTGGTACATTACAGCACTTGGCAGACAGAGAGCAAGGCACAGACCCTGCCAGACAATCCCTCAAGTCTGTATGTAGTGTGTGGGTTTATCTCTCGAGTGACATAGTTAAATATAAAATATGGGGTATGCTCGTGACATAACTGTTTAATGTCTGTGTGCAGGAGAGAAAGTAGCACGCCTGGTGAAAGAGCTGGAAGAAAAGGTCCCAACCTTGCCGTCAGCAGTGAGCGGTGTTGCCACCCAGGCTGACATCGCTTTGGCCTTGCTGCCTCTACGCAGTGAGAACATCCATTTGCGAAGGTGACACTCATTACATTGACACCACGTTGAACCAATGAAACTTTCTTAACAGGGAAAAAGTGAAAATGCATTGCCATTCGCGGATTGTATTTGTTTTTAGCTTCTTCCCATCGAGGTGGTGAAGGCCATTCCATTCCCTACCTCATTCCCCATCTGGAACACTTGTTCTCAACCTTGCTCTGTGCTATATAGCACAATTGCATTTCCACGTACATTACAAATTATTCAATGCAGTAATAATATATAACTAGATTTTGGGGTTGGAGCAGTGGTTCTCGCATGCTGCGCAATGAACCTCGCAACCTAAATTTGATTCCTGGCCATGGCTAGCATCGGTGAGTGATATTTGAACTGGCCCTGGGCCCCCCACTCCCTTCACCAACCTACACGGTGCAGATGGTGAAGTATGGTGTGCAGAGGCCTTAATCAGACAGCGGAGTGATAAAGGCCTGTAAATGAAACTAAATGTATTTAAGACGTGGAGTGTTGTTGTGACTTTAAACACAACATTAATATTATAATCCAAGAATAATTTAGTCAGTAAATATGTGAAGAATGTGTTTTACTGTATTTACACTGAGCATTTTCCAATTACACCTGTTGACACACTTCGTGCGGCCAGGTGGTGTTTGACTCAGAATATGAAGTTTGTACGTCCACTCTTCAATCAAACTGGCGAATTATCTCAATGCAATGCCATTCTGAAACTTAGTCTTAGGACCCAGTCTTAAGACTCGTTGAGGCTTTCCTGGACAATTAAAATGCATCATTATTATATTCTGCCCCAGCCAGAGAATATGAATGCTGCCAAATTTTACATGAGACAAAAAATCTATAAATATGTTAAAACAATCACACACTTTCAATTGTGTTACGTTTAGAAAAACAAAAGAGATGAATGAAGAACTGAGACGACATGAAAGACAACCGAATGCAACAACAGCAGCATCGGACATGAAAGGTATGTACAAACTCTAATCTTAAAATATGTGCTTACATTTGTGCTAAAAAGCAAAACGCTGCTGCCATGACAGCTCATTCATTTGAACAGGAAATTATCACGTGGTACAGTACGACTTTAAGTGCTGGTTGAGTAATATTGCATATTTTACGACGTCTGTAGGGCATTGAGTATTGTATTTCAGCAATGATGCATTCTGCAAGACCTCATGCAAACAACTAAGATTAGCAGTTGATATCTAGCTTCATTGCTAGTGCATTTACTTATTCGTTTCCTAACAAACACTTTTTAATGTACGGCATATGAATGTGTATATTGGTGAATACTTTAGCCATTTACACCCCTGGTGATATTAACATTCGAGGTGTAACGATGCATCGATTCATCAATTATTAAAAAAAAATTATGCAGACGATAATTGCATAGAATCTCATATGTAAGAATCGAGTCATGTGTTGTTGGTAATCTCAATATATATAAGGCAAAGTTGTGATTAAACTTGAAATTTGCCATGTGGGTACTTTCCAAACTGTACACCATGCAAAAATGAAAAAAAATCCACTTATTTTGGGGGGGACGGGAGCTCAATAATACATTTTTTTTGCACGGCAAGTGAGCTGTGACGTCAAATCTGTCATGTGACCCGCGCATGTGGAAGCGTAACGCATTGTAGTGTAGTGGTTAGCGCGCTGTGTATGTGTCTGTGTGTCTGTCTGTGTGTGTGTCTGTGTGTGTGTGTCTGTCTGTGTGTGTCTGTGTGTGTGTGGAAGCGTAACGCATTGTAGTGGTTAGCGCGCTGTGTATGTGTCTGTGTGTGTGGAAGCGTAACGCATTGTAGTGTAGTGGTTAGCGCGCTGTGTATGTGTCTGTGTGTGTGTCTGTATGTGTCTGTGTGTCTGTGTGTGTGGAAGCGTAACGCATTGTAGTGTAGTGGTTAGCGCGCTGTGTATGTGTCTGTGTGTCTGTCTGTGTATGTGTCTGTGTGTGTGTCTGTATGTGTGTGTGTGTCTGTGTGTGTGGAAGCGTAACGCATTGTAGTGTAGTGGTTAGCGCGCTGTGTATGTGTCTGTGTGTCTGTCTGTGTATGTGTCTGTGTATGTGTCTGTCTGTCTGTGTGTGTCTGTGTGTGTGGAAGCGTAACGCATTGTAGTGTAGTGGTTAGCGCGCTGCGCTACGAACCCGGCGACCCGAGTTCGATTCTCGTTCACGATTATTTGAACCGGTCCTGGGCCTCCCCTAGGTTGACTCAGCCCCAAACGAGTAATTGGTGTGGTGTGAACATCGCCAGTGGGGAGACAAAGGCGGCCGGGCGTGGTGAATCCAAGTCCCGGGCGAAGCCGGGTAGTAAAGCTAGTGGGTTCATATAACTAACCCCACTCGTGGCCATTACATTCACCACAATGTTAAATATAATTATTGAATGGAATGCAATACTGAATTGCAATAACTTCACAAAAACGGGATGTAAGGGGGGGGGGCGTTGAATTGATACACCTTAGAAACATTAATTTAATGGCTAAAGTATGTCTAATCTACATCAATGTTATTCTCTATGTGCAAGACTTTCTATCTATCAGGCCATTCGAGGTTCTGGGCCTATATATTTGCAAGAACTGTTGGTACCTTACGCTCCATGAATGTTGAACTCTTGGTAATTCCTAGATGTAATTTAAAGTGGGCCAAGTGCCTTCAGTTGGTATGCTCCCTGCCTTTGGCAATGGAACTTTATCCCAAGGAATGCTGATATGACACCTTAAATGTATTTGCATTTGCTTATTCTTTGGCTGGATTGATTGGCCAGTGGTTTTAGAGGTTTTTTTTGTTAAGTGCCCTCGGATGCTCTGCATTAAGAGCGCTATACAAAAGCAAAATGTATTGAAATGTATGTTCACTCCTTCCCAAGGATTAGCCCTTCATGAAAAAAACTCATTTCTGCAAAAGCAACTGCAAGAGAGCCGGAAGCAAGCGGAGCAGCTGGAGAAGGAAAAATGGGGCCTACACGAGGCACTGCAGCAGCAAAGCGAAGAGCACGACAGGGCAGCACAGAAACTGCAAGAGCGCGAGAGGAATTTCCTTTGCCAAAAGCAGCAGCTGGAAATTGAGCTAAGGCGTGCAGAGTCAGGCATGTTATACAGTAAAGTGCATATGTGTGAACAAACAAAAAACCATCTGTACAGAACAGTTTCATACAAAATGTGCATTTTCAGATTCAGTGCCATATTGTTAATTCGTCGAGCTAGATTTCAGCCCTTTGTCAATCCAGCGCTGGATGAAGGCTTCCCCACACCATGTTTAGGGGGATTGCTTGACCATACCTCACTACACTGCTCAATGGGGGTTGGTGAAGTTGGGGGAGCAGAACCTGTTCAGAAATCACTCGCCACTTATATTCGTAAATGGCCGATAATTGAACTCGCGTTGCTGGGCTTATAGCTCGGCGCATCGCTGACAAATTATGGTACTCTGTTAAAGGATTCATCACAGACCCATAAGGTTTCATTAGAGTCCCATAAGGATTTAGATCAGTGGAAAAACATTTTGATAATCAAGAATACCTACTTGATCAGAATGACAATGAAAGTGCTCGGGGTACTCTGGGCCCTCATTCAATTGTCTTTCATTTTCATTTGACATATATTGGCACGTGTTAGCCCACAGATTCATCATCTATCCTGAGAGTAGATCAATGCCAAATATTTGTATACAATGCAGGGTATATCAATTTAACTACTGGTTCAAGGATTATTACATGATACTGTTATATCGTACAATGCCTGTATAACTTTTTCAATCATCATCAGGTATGGTCAGTCCACTGCTAGATGAAGGCCTCTTTATACCGCTGCCGTCCCCATCCCATAGTCACACGATGCCGCAATCTATCTCACTCCCACACGTACGCTGTTCTCATTACTCCCACTCTGTAGTCGTCATCCTCTTGGGAATGTTTTCTCCTTTGGCTGCCATTTATCCTCAGTCTTCATTGGCCATCATCCCTACAAGTGATATGACCTGCCCAAGTCCAGTTTCCTTTTTTTTAAAGAGACTACACCTCATTCCCATATCTGTCCAACCACATAAAAATATATTAAATATATTTTTTTATCAAAGATAAAAGATCCCCCATATAGCCTTAACAGACTGTAGGGGCAAGGGCTGTTAGCGAGCACCTATGAAGGCCGGTAACGGTACACCAGTGGGTGGATGGCCAGCACCACGCCCGACCGCCTTTGTCTCCCTAGTGGCAATGTTTACACACCGCACCAGGTACTCATTAGAGGCAGAGTCGACCTATACACACCCCATCAAGCACACGGTCTTCTGAGTGCCCTTCATTTCCACAACATTGATTCAACACAAGCAAACTAGATTTATGTTGACACTGTTTCATCACAAGTCAGACTTGCTTCATCCAATGCTGGTAAACTGACAGATGTTTATGGGAAAGGACTTTATCAGATATATGTCCCAGTCCAATGCAAAACTATATAATACACAGCACAAGATGATAATAATCATAGTGAAGAATATAAGTAATAAAATAAACATGTAGACAAGATGCTTCTTTCCCATATCTCTGTACCTTCACCCAAAAACCTCTATTATGGAGAAAACTTTATACAACACCCCTGATCCATGCATCTCTTTTTGATTAATTATCTTATCCCACTTTTAATTGATGTCCACAGCTATTACATCTACATCTGGTAGCTTTCATTATTTTATCCTGTGAAGGCGAGTATTCAAGTTTTAAATATAACATCAAAGGCTTCCCTTCATTTCAAGAACATTATTTTGCTTGAGAGAGCTGCATGAAATTATTGTGATAGAAAAAAAGAACACAGGGATCACGTAAGAGGTCACAACAATGGAAGCATGAAAGCAGCAAAAAGAAAGTTTATGATTGGGGAATTGTAAATACTAGCTCTTGGGAGAGAACATTTGGATGAATTGTCTATGCCAAATACATAAAGTAACAACATACATATTAGAAGAAGAATCAGACAATGAGATGAACTCTCATCAAGGTTTCTAAAGTAACTTTGGAAGGACTTTCTGCACTAAAATAATATATTTTTGGGTTAAGTATGGTATCATATTACGAAAAATATTTCCTGAACCAAAAACATTTAACATCCTTTATTGTATAACTTTCAATAATTGTTCATCAGTTTTTAGTGGCTAGCCTATTTCATATAAACTATGGTCAATCTGTATAGTTAGGATAATATTCTTGGTTCTTTCGGTAAAGTCACGTAGAAGGGAAACAAGAAAATAATAAAATAATAAAAATCATAAACATAATTTTCTTACTGTGATTTTCACACCTGATGATGATTGCTTGTGTTGCAGTCGAAACGTTGTGAGAATTTTATTGTTTTATATTTTTATTATTTTATTGTTTCCCTTCTACGTGACTTTACCGAAAGCACCAAGAATATGAATCCCTGCAGTCACGAAAGCTTTAAATAAAAAAGTTAGAATAATCCATAAAGGTTTTTGGGTTAGATCGCGTTATTTATAAATGTGTCGTAACCCTCCACCACCCGACACGGCCAATCAGCAAATGACAGTGGATTCATCGCTTAGGAGTCATGAGCACTGAGCTGGCACTGATGAAAACGGCGGTTGGAGTCCAGATTTCAGCCACTCATGACGGAATTGTTCTCAATTGTAGTATGTTGATTGTATCAGTCATCAACATACTCAAACTGTGACTTATAGAGAAAAAAATATCACATTCAATTTGTTATTTCGCTTAATTTGGGCTATGTCAGTTCATGATATGTTTATATTCCACTGTGGCATGGCATGTGGAAAAGTGCAGTGCCCTGAATTTGTGGACATAACGGTTAATTGAAGGGATAGCAGAAATGTTACATTACCTAATGAGCTGTTCTCTCACAGAAGAGGTGAAGTACTGCTATGTGAGAGTTCCGAAAACATAGTCTCATGGAAAAAAGTTATAAAATATCATTTCAAAACCAGTGATGTCCAGGTGAAAAAATGAAGCTTAACGTATTTAAGACAACCTAGGATAAATACACGATACGTTATATCTATAAGAGCTCTACATATTTTGGGTTGCCATCTATTCATGGGGATGCTGCCAATATGTCAAGGCAGCATGTAAGTGGAGGCCAAATACTTTCTAGAGCTCCTAGTGGAGGCCTTTTTGACCAGCAGTGGCACAAGCAGGCAATTACAGGGCTGCACCGTTACCATTTCATTCAAAAAAATGTTGCACAAATGTTATTCTTGTGGGTTTACTGTGAATCACTGTGTGACTGGCCAAACGGCATCAACATATGTACGTATTTTATGAGCATTAACCATTATCATTTGTTGTTGTTAGACCTGACAGACGTTCATATCAGCGTACAGAACCTGCACGAGCAGCTGGAGGCTTCTGATCGAGAAAAGCAGATCCTGCAAATGAGCTTGAAAGGGAAAGAATTTGAGATGACGAGGATGCAAGACATGATAAGGCAGGCTATACAATCACATTAACATACTCTATTTCATGCTTTATATATAAAAAAGTAAACTATTTTATCGGTGTATTTTCACAGGGCCCTGCAGCATAAAATGTCTCTCCTTTTGTTTGACTTGGATGTAAACACTGTCCGAAGTAAATGTACACATCAAGACAACGACCATTCAACTTGGCGTCTTCCAGAACATGAACATACCTCTTACTTATCCATAGCAATAGGTACAAATGATAACTCGAGTAATAATGGTGGTTTGGTCCAAAGGAGTGATTCAACTGAAATCAAACAATTTGTTAACAATGAAGGAAATGATGCTACTAAAGGAGCTACATGCAATAAAGGACACCCATCTCGACAAAAGGAAGTTTGTAAGCTTTTTCACATTCCAAACTCTCCAGCTTTGCTGATAGAAACAATGGTTCCTGAAAGGGACAGTGGTGTTGCAGTTGAAGAAAAAGAACAAACGTACAAATCTCCAACAACCAACGCGATAAGTGTGAACGAACGCCATCGAATGGAGGACAGTGGCCTCTTTACCCCATCTGGACCCAGGGTGATCCGTAATTCATTGAACAAGGAGCCATACCAACCAGCAGGAAATGTCAGCTTTTCCAAGACGCAAGTACAGTCGGCACTCTCTGACAGTTTATCTACATTTTCATCATTTACAACTCAAGATGATCAAGAATTTAGGAACGGGTTGGCAGTACTGGATTCTAATATCTCCAGACTGCAAAGCAATCTGAGATCTGAATGGTTACGAAAATAAGAAGTAAATAGCTGCACACAATACTTTACATTAACACCTGAACACATGTTTGCAATGTAAAACGCAATCATGTTTTAATGCAGCATAACAAAATTTTTATTAAGTATAATTACAGCATGGCAGCAATTGGTATTCTTAAGCCAATGTTTGTGTTTATGAATAAAGATGTTTTTATTTATGAAAATGGTCCGACTGTATTATATGCTATCAAGTTGTAATGGGCATTTAACACTTTGAAGACAAAATAATGAAACTACAATGCATATATATTTTCTTTAATGTATCAATAAATTAAATAAGTTCGCTTTTATAACCAAAATTCGTGCGACTCACGAACATGTCGCTTGACGATGGTTATTAAATAACAACAAAGTAATTGACACTGTAAATAGTGTCATTACAGGTTGCAATCCACAATTTCATTCCTAATTATACGAAACTCAAATTACTGCAAAGATATAGCAATAGGTTTTACCCTTTTAACTGGCACAAAAACTGACACCTTTTCAAGGCATGTTGTGGTTATTGCAAACATGATGCCTTGAATAAAGGTGTCAGTTTTTGTGCCAGTTAAAAGGGTAAAACCTATTACTATATCTTGTTACTGGCAAAGGAGGTCTCATAATTTAAAATACTGCAAAGATAGTTATAACAAGAAAATCTTCTGGAGAATCCGGTTATGTCCTGGTGAAAGTAAGAAACTAAATACAGACCTGAATGTATCTGAAATGAAGGTCATTTTACAAATGGTTTTAGTTTGACATTGATCAATCCTAAGTCAGCTAGTTGTCTGCAGCACGGCTTCATTAACCACTCATCCTGCATTATGGCAGCCAAGAGGTATAACTGTTCAGGAAAGTATTTTATCTGATAAGAATGGCCCAGTTTAACACGTAGGATTTCGTGATCAATATCATCCATAAGAGGTTTTTTGGGTTAGATCGCGTAAATATATAAATGTGTCATTAAAACCCGCCACCACCTGATACAGCCAACTAGTAAGGATTGTCACGTAAACAGAACATGGCAATTCGTCACAAGTACAGCACACCGGTGTGTTGGAGAGCCAAGCCACAACATTTACAATCTGAGTACAACGTTTCGCCAGTAATTTAAACTAGCGACAGTCAGATTTGTGGATAAGTCTGTTTCGTTCCTTAAAGGAACGAAACAGTTGTACAGAGCGAAACAGTTTAGACTGCTCCACAAATCTGGCTGTCACCTGATGAAGCTAGTTGTAATTACTGGCGAAACGTATTCAGAGTGTAAATTCATAATAAAGGTTTTTGGGTTAGATCGCATTATTTATAAATGTCGCAACCCTCCACCACCCGACACGGGCAATCAGTAAAAAAAGTGTCAATAGAACAAAAGACAAATATTTTACTACTTTAGCCCACCGGTGTGTTGAACAGTGGATCCACAACATTTTCAATTCGAGTACGACGTTTTGCTGGAAATTACATCCAGCATCTTGAGGCAATTTGCCAGAATAGTGAAGCCATCCACCTGCTTCTGGTCTTAAATAGTGCAGGACGACGTCATCATTGTTGAATCCGATCACGTTTCGAGATCACAGGCGGAGGTTTCAGTTTTCAGTTTCATTTATTTGGTATAGCCCTGTGAGCCATGCGGCTCTTGACTCGGGTGCAACCGCAACAAACAAACACATGAACAAGAAACATCTTAAAGCGACTACGCGCAACAGATAAATCCAGGAAAAAAACAGCAAAGTCTTCCATAAAAAGCACCATTTATCAACGCTGTGTGCAAAAATCCCAGTGGGACAATAGCAATCACGTAATCCGGAGAGCGGCCAGCAGTTATCAGTATCGTTTCGATTTAAAGCTTTCGTGACTGCAGGGATTCATATTCTTGGTTCGTTCGGTAAAGTCAGGTGTGATGATGATTGCTTGTGTTGCAATCGAAACGTCGTGAGAATTGTATTGTTTTATTTTTATTATTTCCCTTCTACGTGACTTTACCGAAAGAAACAAGAATATTAATCAGTATCATGTAATCTGCAAAAAGATTTACCCTGGAATGATCCAGGTCAGTGCCCAAGTCATTTACTTAAAGAGAGAACAAGAGGGGGCCGAGGATGGAACCCTGTGGAACCCCTTTTGTTATCTTAACACTGTTTGACCTCCAGCCATCTATGAATATAGTTTCGGTGTGAGAAGAGAGGTAATTCTTTAACCATTCCACTGCGTGTTTGGAGAAACGGAGACAACTTAGTTTACTAAGCAGGGTGTTTTGGTCGGCTGTATCAGAGGCTTTGGATAAGTCAAGAAAAAGACTGGCGCAGTACTGCTTATTATCAAGGCTACGATAAAAGTGATTCAGAGAGTCTAATGCAGCAGATGTGGTGCTGTATTTTTTCGGAACCCAGATTGGTTTCGATGTAAGAGATTGTTGTCGGACAGGAAACTCTTAATTTGGTAGTTCAATCATTTTTCAAAAAATTTCATCAACGGGGACAAAATTTAGATAGTTCAGTAGTTATTGGGATCATCTTTAGGGCCCCCTTTGTGAAGTGGACGAACATAGGAATGTTTCCATTCAAGAGGTCCTGATGCTTCCTTGATGGACAGGTTCAAAATTGGCTACAGGTTTGTAAATTAGGTGACCAACAGTTAGCAGAGCAAAGACAGGAATGCTATCCACTCCGGTAGAGCGGTGTTTAGAAATGAATTATGTAATAGATCAGTAATCAGCCACTTATCATGTGACACACCTGTGTAGTGAGTCCAACTGAGTCGCAGACGTTGTCGTGGGAGCAACACTTTATTAAGCAACTTCAACCTAACACAATTTACACTCGGGTATCGAATGCCCATCTAACCACGCTACGGCAGAACTAGACACGGTTTGCTATCCCGGCCCGGACCACAAGCTGGGTCCCGGACCGCATGGCTCGAGGCTTATTCTCCCCGACGTGGAACTTCTTCACACCAGCACACGAGGAACCCCGAGCTCCTCAGGGGGCCCCCGTTATATCCCCCTGGGCTGGGGCTGGCTCCGCCCTTCGCCCCGCCCACCTTCCAGATCTCCCGAGCTTTCTCAAAGGCTCCCGAGAGCTCTTTTAGACCACGTGACCGCCCAGCAGCCCCCGTCCACCAGTGGCCTCCCTCCAATATCATCCGGCCACGTGTCAGCAGGTCAACCAGCGTATCATGCCCCAACGTAACCCTGGCTGGCTGACGCTCCCTCTCGCTCCCTCACCGGGAGCCCGCACCGCACACTGCTCGCGGTGCCTCCGCGCTGACCAGCGCTCACTCACGCCCCGCTAGGGCTGGTACAACACGCCGTAAGCGGGCTACACATTATCCGCCATGGCTTCTTAAGCCCGGCACCACACAGTGGCAATCAGTCACTACACCTGTAAGGGATTACAATGTGTTGTGTATTACTTAATAATATGCTTCCAGGCTGAGCTGAGTCTGTAGCTATCACAGCGGTTGAAATTATTGGAATTCGTCATAATTTCGATTGATTCTCTAACTCAGGGGTGGGCAAATTTTTTGACTCGTGGGTCACAATGGGTTCTAAAATTTGACAGAGGGGCCGGGCCAGGAACAGATGGATGGAGTGTTTGTGTGAACTAATTTAAATGACTTGTAAAAATCATTACATGAAAGGATTTGGCCTTTAACAGGTAGCAAAGCATTTATTTGCAAGGCAATTTAACAAATTGCACGAACATGAACAATACAAAAACATGTCGTAACGTGACTGATCAAACATCATGAAAACATCTGAGGCCTGCGCCCAAACCAATGACCTCACTTGAACTTCTTCATTGTCTACATTAACAGGTTAGAGTAGCCATGCAGGCTGTGTGTCGGAGATTTGGCTCCAACCTCGCTGCAGCAACACATCATCACTTTCAGTTTCAGTGGGAACAGTCTTGTTGATCTCCCATTTTTGCCAGTACATCTAAGTCTGGAGTTATTTTGGTTGTGGCAATTCTCAGGATAGATCTGAGGTGCTGATCCGTTAACTTTGATCTGTGATGGCCCACAATGCATTGCGAGATCATGTGCCCTTTCGAGCCCTATACACCACACTCCCGGTCAAAGTGTGCCATCTAATGGGGGAATGGGGGCATTACAGGAGAAAGATAAAATTTAATTTAATATTTGGACAAGTTCGGCGGGCCGGATTAAAAAGCCCAACGGGCCGTACTTTGCCCATGTCTGCTCTAACTTGTCTTAGCCAGTATTAATTAGTTCTGCATAACACTTCAACGTTATCAAAATCAACTGAATGTACTTGTTGGCAGGCATGTGGAGGGTTGCGACATTTCTACACGATCTAACCCAAAAAAACCTTTATTATATATATAAAAGGGAAATTTGTGAATGTGTGTCTGTTCAAAATGTTTAGCATACTTCACGACATGCAACAAACTTGAAACTTCACGACATGCAACAAACTTGAAATTTGCCATGTGGGTACTTTCCAGACTGTACACCATGCAAAAATTATGAAAATACTTTTGTATTTTTTTTTGGGGGGGGCGCAATGCATATATTTTGCACGGCAAGTGAGCTGTGACGTCACATGTCATGTGACCCGTATGCGGAAGCGTCACGCAGTGCGCCTGCTGATGTCACGCACCCCCCCCCCGCCAACCCTCTGCGGGTAGTGCCATACAAATGTGTTGCAGGTCTAAGGCGTGCTTCGCGCAGCATTGCTTTATTATTTCAGTCGTTTACTGCCGTACGTACCCTGAAGTTGCCTTCAGCAAGCGCGTGTGTGTATATCTATGGACGCGCGGGCGCGGTAGTGTAGTGGTTAGCGCGCTGCGCTACGAACCCGCCAACCCGAATTCGATTCCCGTTCACGGCCACCACCAGTGACAATTTGAACCGGTCCTGGGCTTCCCCTAGGTCGACTCAGCCTCAAACGAGTAACTGGTGTGGTGTGAACATCGCCACTGGGAGACAAAGGTGACTGGGCGTGGTGAATCCAAGGGTAGTAAACCTAATAATGAATACTGGTCGCGAAAGCCTACGTTAAACAGATTGTAAATGTTGTGGCTTGACTCTCCAACACACCGATGTGCTGCACTAGTGACGAATTGGCATGTTGTTTACGTGACAACCCTTACTAGTTGGCTGTCGGGTGGTAGCGGGTTTTAACGACACATTTATATATTTGTGCTCCAACGCA